GTAATAGATTACTAGATAGCAGATGAATGACCAGAAATGTTTTATATTTTGTAATTTTTAAAAAGCCTTTATTTAATAGGAACCTATTTAATAGATTCCACCTCTAGGTTTCTCTCCAATTCTTTTCAGTTTTGGTAAAATACACCTAACTTACAATTTACCATCTTAACCATTTTTAACTGTACAAACTTATGTTTCACAATAATGAAAATGTTTTGATACCAGAGGAGAAAATTCCCAGTATTAAGTTTTCATTCTTAAACATGGTTTCTAATATTAAATTCATGAAAGAAAAATTTTCTCTGATTTTGGTTTATTTTGTTATTTATTTCCATTTTGGAAAACAGGACCTTGTGGAGAACTGGGTAAAACTCTCTGGGGCATGTTTAGGAGAAGGTCCAGGGTCCCAGCAAGCCTTCCACGGTGGCTACCTGGCCAGTCTCTGCAGACCTGCCTTTCCAGCCCTCCAACACCATGGAGCGCAGCTTCATTCTCCACATAGCCACTCTGCTTCTCAGATGAGTAATAAAGTATGTGATTGCATAAATCAGAATTGCTCAAGAGTTTAAGAAGATTTGTTCCCAGAAGACCTCAAAGAAACACTGTCAAGATAAAAATCACATTCTGCATTTAGAGAATTCTTATGTTGACACTTTACATTATTAAGAGACGAATTGCTAAAACAAATTTTCTTTTCTTACCACATCCTCCTTTAGCTTACCTTTTATGCTGAGTGAGCTATGACAGCAACACCAGCTATTTACTTATTTCTCATTACGTTTATAGTTGGCTGCAATTTCTGTTTTATTTGCAGACTTGAGCAGCATGTTGTTATGTCTGTAACTGAAATAAAAATCCCACTGAAAAGGTCTATATGCTCCTATATGTTCTAAAACCTTCCATTCAAATTTTTAATTTATTTTTCTTTTTTTTAAAAAGATTTTATTTATTTACCTGTCAGAGAGAGAGAGAGAGAGAGAGAGAGAAGGGAGCACAGACGAGCAGGGGGAGCGGCAGGCAGAGAAGCAGGCTCCCCACTGAGCAAGGAGCCTGATGCAGGGCTCGAACCCAGGACCCTGGGATCATGATCTGAGCCAAAGGCAAATGCTTAACCTACTGAGCCACCCAAGTGTCCTTCAAATTTTTAATGCAGTAAACATTGGTAATACTTGCTTTAGGAAAAACTAAAAGTCTAAGGCTCAAACTCTCCTCTCCACAAAATTAATTTCAATAGCGAAATTTACATTTTCAAAGGGAAACATCTGAGCTCATCTAAATTGACAATAAATATTTAATTGGGTAATTGTAAAGGAAACATTTTCATGGTCTATTTTTAATTTAAAATTAACTACTAAATGTTTTATCCAACAGTGCTTTTAAAAAAGACTATGTATTTTGTTTTGTTGATCAGATCTAAAAAAAAATGGAGTGTGTTATAGTCAGATGCTTGATAAATGGGTTTTGATAATAAAAACTCTGATGAGATGATGATAAGGTGATTTCATATGCAGAAGTGGAAGGGGGCCAGTGACAGGCTGCCAAATTTCAAAGAGCAAAGGGAAATCTGTAAAAGTCAGGAAGCAGTCATGCAGATTGTATTTGATAGCTGGCAACTCCAGAACAAAAAGAGTTTCTTGGTTTGGGGTTGAAACTTGAAAAATATCCCAGAGCTAATACCCCTCAGAAAGAGGTGAGGGAAAGAACTAAAGTTTGAGGTAAAGATACTTGGAAGGGGAGAAGGGCAGGAGCAAAGTCATGGGAAAGCCTGGTATTTCAGGCATGCGGAGAATGGACAGAATGGAGAGAGTAGGGAGAATGTTAGAGAAATAAGGCGGTGAAGTAAACAGAGAAGTTGGGAAGACCAGATGGTATCTCTCTGTGCTTACCTACTGTCAAATTAATACTCGGGGAGGAAAGAGGAGCTGAAAGAATATTGGGGAGATATCACAGAGGGTGAGAGAAAGTTAAACTGAACTCGGGCAGAGAGAGGAGATGAGAGGATAACACTCTGGTGGAAAGCATCACAGTGGCCAGCATTCACACAACAAAAGAACGGAACAAGGTTTTTGTCTACACTGAAAGGTGACCTCAAAGAAAAACAAGATCTTGAGTTTGCCTACCTTTTCTCCCTGGTATTTTACATACACAGGAATTTTGAGTGTGTTCATGGGTAAGAAAGTTATAATTTGCATTTGAAAGTCGCACATACTCATTTCCACACTTCCAACCAATACTAGACATTTTCACATGTGTAGTTTGACAACCTTTCAAAGTCAAAGTGGTCTAAAATGGAACACATATTCACTCAAATATTTATCATGCATTTACGATATGCTAGTCTTGTCACCCTCTTCAGCAGTACCGAATTTGTTCAACACATTGGGCGCCCAGATGTGCTAGGTACCAGGGACAAAATACTGAACACAGGCATTCTCGTGGAGCTTACAAGTCTAGTGGGAGAGGTAAATAATAATGAGGTAATGCTACAAACATGGAAAATTGGGATTGTGGCTAGTACTATAAAGTAGACACAACTATTGAGATTTTATAAAAGAGGGGATGTGACCTGGCCTAAAAAATCAGGAAGCACTTTAGCTGAGATGTAAAAGATGCAAAGAAATTAACAAGATGGACAGGAAAAGCATTCTAACAGAGAGAACTACCTGTGCAAAGGCCCTGTGGGGGGAAGGAACATAAAATACCACTTTAAATGCTAAAAGAGACTATTGTTATTGGCATGCATAAGTAGGGGGTGGGAGATAAAAGGTGAGGATAGAGAGGTGGGCAGGGGTCAGGCTACATAGGGCCTTGTGTGTCACTTTAAGGATCTTAGTCTTTATACTCAGAACAATAGGAAGTCATGAAAGGGACATGATGGCATGACATGATCTGATGTGTTTCCAAAAGATCACCCTGGGGGCTGAGTGAAGGATGAGTGGGAGCTGAGAGGAAGGAGGCAAAGGCTAGTAGAGAAATGAAGTGATACAGCTCAGGCTAAGATGATAGCTTTGGAAGAGGAAGAGAGTAGATGAAATGGAGAAATAACAATGGGATCAGCTGTATGGCCCAAGGGAGAAGGAAGTGGCAATGAGGTTTCTAACTTCTCAAACTGGTGGGCGATAGTGCCTTCCATTGCACTGAGATCCTGCCTTTGGTTTTGGAGCTATCTTTTGGGGTGGAGTGGAGTGAATGGAGGTGTTATGAAGACAATTGTAGACACCCATTTGTAGCTCAGAAGAAATCTGATCAGGAGATCCAACCTTGTGAGTTGCCTGCATATACTGCAGGTGGCCACCAAAGCTGAAGGTGTAGAGGAATTTGCCCACAGGGACAGTGTAGAGAGAGAGGGGGAGGGGACTTGAATGTTGAGGAAATGCAACATTCCACGGTGAGTAGAGCAGGGTGAGCCTGCACAGGAAACAGACAAGCTGCCAGAGAGCTGGAAGTCAATGTGGTTTCCAGTCAGTGTGGTTTCACAGAAACAAAGGGAAGAGTGTTTCAGGGCAGGAGAGATCAACAAAGATGCATGCTCCTGAAAAGTCAGGTAAAATGAGAACTGAAAAATGTCCCTTGGATTTAAAGACCTGGCAGTCATTGGAACCTTAGCGGAGAGCTCCCTCTTGGGAGGCTGAAGAGAGGAGACGTTAGGCGGGAAACATTTGTGATGAGTAAGGTGGCAAAGAAACGAGGACATGAAAGTAGCTGGAGGACAATGAGGGTTCAAGGGGAGAACTTGTTTTAAATGGGAGAATTCTGCTGTTGTAATAAATTACCACACAATTAATAACTTGCAGAAGCACAAATTTGTTACTTTACCACCTTGTAGGTCTGCAGCACAGGTAAAGAATGGGATAGGAGACCCTGGCATCACCGTTCCCTTTCATTTTTAGACCAATATGGTGGCCTAAATTGGCTCCCCTCCTTTCAGTTTCATCTTTTTCCCATCCATTCTTCACAGCCTGAAGCCACATCAGTTGTCCTAATGTGCAGTCTACTCAAAAACTTCCAGGAGCTCCCCACTGCCTACCGAACAAAGCTTAGACTCTTTGATAGTTGACAAGCCCTCCAATGATGAAGTGAAAAAATGTATTTCCAGGCTTCTTTTGCGCTCTTTGACTCCGTGTGTGCATGTATGCAGGTGTGTGTACCCTAGACCTCCATGCTAACAAAATGGCTGTTTCCTGCTTGGAATCTATCTCCATGTCCTGCTCATGCTTTGCCAGGCTCGGCTGTCTACTCCCCACTTTTTCTCCTGGTTGAAATCCTACTCCCATGTGGTAGGTAGCAGAATGCCACTTCCTCACCAAGATATCCATCCCTTAATGCCTGGGGCCTGTGAATGTTACTCCACATGGCAGAAGGGACATTGCAGATGTGATTAAAGTTACAGACATTGAGATGGGGAGATTATTTTGTATTATTCAGGTGGGGCCTGGTGTAATTAAAAGGGTCCTTAAAGTGGAAGAGAACAGAAGGGAAGGTTGGATGCTACAACATGGGAGGGATTTGACCTGCAACCGGGTTTGGATACAGAGGAAGGGCCATGATCCAAGGAATGCAGTGGCCTCTAGAAGCTTTGTAAAGTCCTCGATTTATAGCCAGCAAGAAAACAGGAACCTCAGTCCTACAACCACAAAGAACTGAATTCTGCTAACAACCCAAATGGACAGGAAATAGACTCCCCCTCCTATAATCTCCAGGAAAGAATTCAACCCTGATGACATCTTGATGTTAACCATTGAGATCCATGTTGGACTTCTGGCCTCCAGAACTGTATGAGAAGACATTTTTGTTGCTTTAAGACACTAAGTCTGTGGAATTTGTTGTGGCAGCAGGAGGAAACTGATAAACCCTCCTTTAAGGGGTTTCTCCTTCACTAGACACTTTCTAATTCACTGTCTCCAAGAAGCTGTCCTTGACTGTCTGTCAGAAGTAACCGCTTTCCTTTCTTTTGAACTCCCTGCAGCACTGTGTGGGACTTCTCTCCTGAGGGGAAATGGTCTGGCATCCTGGTTATTTGCAAACTTGTCCTAATTCTCCTGTTAGACTTCTAGCTCCTTGAGGTGAGTGAGCACTCAGGATTTAGGTGCATATAGTAGCCACCACAGTATCTTAGCCCCTTGCCTAGTACATAGAAGCTGCTCAACGATTGTTTTTTATTTCTTTTGTTTTGTTTTTACATAATAAAAGAACAAATGGAAGTCCCTAGAAAGATGGCAGACATAAAATAACCATAATAAGGATACCCTTTCCCTTCTTTTTTCCCTCATGTTAGATATAATTATCTGAACTTTGAAATTAGAAGCCATTCCTTTACTATCATCAGTAGCCCCAAACCATTGTAATATTTACCATTAACAGAAAATATTATTCCCATCACATAATTAATTTCAATTAGTTATATTTCATGCTTTTCCTCAGAAGCAGACCTTGGAACTTTAAGGAGTTGATAATAAGTGAGAATGGATAAAGAGACATGTTTACCTGTAAATGGCTGCAGATAACCAAGGTATTATTTTTTTAATATTGCTGATAATAATCAGTTTACATTCACACCAAACAGGATTTGGTTAACTTATGAAGGACTAAGTCTGAATTTTAATGTTTCTTTTCCAGGATGGAATTATGAGGGCAGGAAGAGTACAATAGTGAATATAAATTATATTTAGACTTAGAAAAATGAGTTTCAAAAAAAAAATTCCCCTAGATCAAGGGACACATTCATGCCCATCTATACCAAACGAATACCATGATGATAATAGCAAGGCAGACAGAACATTTATAGACTACTAAAAATCCCAAGATATGGAGCTATAGTGTTCAAATAATCACCGTAAAAGCATAAAGCAAGATTCAGATATTAGAGATGATTGCTCCCTTGACAATGGATGCATGAATTTCACAGATCCCAGAACTAGACATCTAAGAAGTCAAGAGGAAAGGAAAATATTTTCTGAACAGTGGAAGCTACACTAAAAAATCACAACTCAGAGCTAAACTAACAGATTAATTTTACATTGAGAGATCAGAATGATGGATTTTGGGGGCACCTGGGTGGCTCAGTCGTTAAGCGGCTGCCTTCAGCTCAGGTCATGATCCTAGAGTCCTGGGATCGAGCCCCGCATCGGGCTTTCTGCTCAGTGGGAAGCCTGCTTCTCCTTCTCCCACTCTCCCTGCTTGTGTTCCCTCTCCTGCTATGTCTCCCTCTGTCAAATAAATATATAAAATCTTTAAAAAAAAAAAAAAAGAATGATGGATTTTGTTTTGACCAGGCTCTTGCTGGTTTTTAAGCATGATACCCCCACCCCCAGTATGCCTTTATTTAGCAGATAGTATACTATATATTTTTCAAAATGAATATGCGTTGAAGATCTCTGTAGCAAACATGCCACAACTCAAATACTGAACATAGTTAGCTACTGAAATCTAGAGAAATTTTAGATAAAATCTGACTAGGACAGGGAAGAAGTGGCTTGAAAACAGAGGAAGAAGCCAAGTACAATTGGAGCAGAGGCTCAGAGAACGTGCACTCAGGAGACAAAGCAGGAGGAGAGAGAAGGGCTGAGCTCCCAGCAGGAAAATAATCAAGGAACACTAGTGCTCCAGTGACAGACAGGGCTGTTGGATTGTGGTTACCCACCCCATTACTGTAGAATTGTTCTTGGCCGATTTCTCAGTTTTCCTCTCCAAATTAAGTTTTAATTACTAAATGCACTAGAAATACTGCCTGAGCCCAAGTCCTTTTTTTTTTTTTAAGATTCTTTTTATTTCTGTGACAGAAAGACAGTGAGAGAGAGAGCACAAGCAGGAGGAGTGGGAGAGGGAGAAGCAGGCTCCCCGCTGAGCAGGGAGCCCGATGTGGGGCTCGATCCCAGGACCCTGGGATCATGACCTGAGCCAAAGGTGGACGCTTAACCGCTTAACCAACTGAGCCACACAGTCCTTTTTATTAGTGATTCCTAAAAGGAGGTCAAAAGTAAGAGAGGAGGTTCTTTGAAGTCCTCATGGAAGGTAACCAATGCGGTATCACTACGTCCCCAGGACAGTGCCGGTCCCACATGTGGTCACCATGTCTGAGCCCATTCCGATGCTGCATTTCCTCCATAACTAATAACCACTGAGTATTTGCATTTTAAAGGGAACCCAGGAGATGTAAAGCCTTTAAGATTCAAAGGACTGAATCTCTTTAGGTGGAATTTCAAGAATTAGAAGTACTTTGTCATTCATTCATTTATCACATGTATATCGAATTCCAGGCACAGTGCTGGGCATTGAGATCATAATGGTGGTGAGCAAACTCAGACAGAACCCTGTCATCATAGAAATTACCGCTCCGAGAAGGAGGAGGTGGCCCTAAATCAAAAACAAATGCGTGATTAAAAACAGTAGTAAGTATCATATAATCTAATTCCTCTAAACTGTTGGGCACAGGAGGCAGTCAGGGCTGTTCTTCCTGAAGGAACGACATCGGAGAGCTAAGGGGTGAGTGGAAGGTAACCAGGCAAAAGGTAGGGATGGGGAGGGAGCAGCATCCCTGGCCTGGGGACTGGAGAATTTCTATATGGCGGCGGGGGCGGGGGAAGTGCTGTGCTAACCAGTGTCCTGTGAAGATGGTAGCCAGTCTACTCTTGCTGGAAGGACCCTTATTTTTTTCACCAAACAAACCCCTTCTTGGTGATGCTGATAGTGATTTAGGGACCACAAAAGTTTACTTGCAGGGGCTGAAGGAGATGTTGGTGACTTGAGTCCCTCTCATGTCCCCCTTCAGCCTCACCATGAGACAGAGGGAACTGCCAGGGCAACCTCTTTATCAGGCCCACAAAAACGTTTTAATTTTAACATCTTTTAAAATCAAAAGAAAAATATGAATGTAATGTCAGTTATCAATTATATTTGCCCTTATACACATATACAAAGAAGGGGCCCTTGAAGGCAATGGTCACACCACAGCCATGGGAAGTGTCCGAGGCAGGAGGGCACAAGGTGGGGGGGAGTTGAAAGGAAAGGTTTAGAGGGCAGGCAGGGCCAGACTTCTGGGAAGGGTAAGGATGCGGGTCTTTATCTACCTCAGAACAGTGGGCAGTCACTGAGAAGGTCTACGCTGAGGACTGACGTGATTGTAAAAAGATCGTTCTGGGCACTGTGTGGAGAGCAGATGGTGGGGCTGGTCAGGAAAGAGCTTAAGCAGTCACAGGCCTCACAGAGGTGAGAGATGAGGGCGCTTGTTCAGAGCAGGGCGAGAGGGGTTTGCTAAGGCTGCCTAACAAATACCACAGACTGGGGGGTCTTAAACAGGAATGTATTGTCTCATGGTCGGGGAGGGTAGAAATCCGAGATCAAGATGTCAATAGAGCAGGTTCCTAGTGAGGGCTGTGAGGGAGAATCTGTTCCAGGCCTCTTTACGAGCTCCTGGTAGCTTCAGGTGTTCCTTGGCTTGTTGGTGGTCATTTTCTTCCTGTGTCTTCACATGGTCTTCCTCTGTATGTGTCTGTGTTCAAATTTCCCCTTTTTATAAGGACATATAATCATACTGGACTAGGGCCCAACCTGACCACCTCACTTCAACTTGATTACCAGTACAAAGACTCTATCTCTGAATAAGGTCCCATCCTGAAGGTACTGGGGGTTAGGACTCCAACATATGAATTTTGGAGGGACACAACTCAACCCATAACGAAAAGTCAGCAAACCATGGCCCATGGACCAAATCTAGGCCACCACCTGGTTTTATGTGGGCCCTGAGCTAAGAACGGTGTTTATATTTTTAAATAGGGGGGAAAAGTCAGAAAAATAATAATATTTCATGATTTATGACTATTTTTGAATCTATAGTTTGGTGTCCATGAATAAAGCTTTATGGGACCACAACCACACTCATTCATTTACATATTATCTATAGCTGCTTTTGCCCTACCCTAGAGTTGAGTAGTTGTGACAGATACCATAATGGCCTGTAAAGCCTAAATATTTGCTATCTGGCTTATTACAGGAAAAGGTGGCCAACTGTCACCCCAGAGCCACAGCAGGGGGCATGGAAAAATTGGACGGGTCCGGGGGCTGGTGAGGAGGCAAGACCGACAACATTTGGCATTGGGTTACATAGGGGATGACAAAGAGGGGGGTGTCAGCGACTCCTGCTCTTCGGGTACCTCCCCCAGATATTGCCATGGAACTCAGGATATGCAAACACCTCCACAGACCAACCAGGGTCAGTAAAATGACCCTGTGTTTGGACCTCTGTAAGAAATAAAGAACACCGGGGCCTGTGGGGGGACACATACCTCATCTAAAAGTTCACAAAGTCACTTTTTGTGAATACACAATGCTGGTGAAACAGAACACATCAGGAAACCAAGTTCAGGCTGACTTACTGGTTCACAACTCCCACTCGACTTAGAAGCCTGATGCGCAGAGTCCAGTTGGGCTTATAGGGAGAAAGGAGGAGCCTCACATCCGTTAAATCCCAGAGTTGCCTGTCCACCTCTGGGTCTAACCAACACCACGTGCATCCCACCTTTTTTCTTTCCTGAAGAAAGCTCCTTTTCACCATCTGCTCTGAGTTCCTTCATTCCCTGGGCTCACCTCTCCCTCCCTCCCTTCAGCCTGATTCAGCCTTCCTGCACCCCAGCCTGTGTGAAGCTAAAGGAGAGAGGACTAAGCCTGCCTCACCTGTGAAGAGCTCTCCTCTCGTAGGGGAGACAAAAATGGAGGCGGTTTCATCTCTGGATGAGATGAGCACACCAGGCAGGTGCAGGTGTGTGAGGAAGGCAGGTCCTCACTAGGACCAAGGCAACAAGACTCTGAACAAAGGCCTAGACAGGTGGACCAGGACGCCATTCAGAGTAAATGGGTAATTCCCAACAGCTTCCCTGCACCTCTGCCTGCCTGGTAGAACTTCCCTCCCATCCGAGATGGTACCCAGGCTGGACACAGACAGACTCCCTGGGGTAACTGATGCCCATGGGCAGCTCTGCCACCCCAGGGATACTCCTCTACCCAGAACCCACTCCCAGGCTTCTCTCTGAGTCTTGTCTCCCGATGCACTTCTGAAGCTCCTGGAAAAGAAAGGTATGAATGAATTACTAAGTGAAGGGGGGAAGGAAGGAGAGACCTTACCCTGCTACTGTCAACTGCACTATGACAGGGATTATTTTGGTCTTAGCTCATCCTCAGCACCCTAGAACAAGGCTGGCACCTAGGAGGTGATCCATGAATGTGATAGAACGATTGAAAGTAACTACTTTCTAATGGTGTGATTTCAGGTGCCCAGAAAGACTGTGTGTACGTTGCATATTTATTTATTTTCCACATGGTTTTGATCCCTAGTACTTTCACCCACTTGTTGCTCTGAAAACTTCCATCACTCTGATTTAAAAGAGCTCCCCATCCTGCCACTTCCTCCACAAAACTTTTCCTGATCCTGGATTGCAAGCCTATAACCTCTGGTCTGGGAGGCAGCTGAGTGCACTGGAAAGAGCCAGTCTTTGGAGCCAACATATCTGGTTAGTTGTGAGATCTTGACCAATTTCATCAAAACTTTTCAGAGCCTTGGTGTCCTCATTTATAAAGCAGGGATTTGTATCCTTCTCACGGTGTCATAGGATCAAATAACACAATGTATGTGAAGGCCCTGGCATATGGTAGATAGTTGTTGAATAAATAAAATTTTTATCCAAGGAAAAATTGTGAAGAGCTGGAGCTTACCAAATCTCCAAAGAGTGAAAAGAACATCCTAGATGGAAGGATAAAGCCAACAATCTTTCGGCGAGTTTTCAGCCTAATGAATAAAAGTATTAACATCAAATTGAGGGAGGGAAATGCATTTCTACAGAAGGTAATAGCACCATATGCTACCAGTTATAGCCCATAGCTGTGCTTTCTTAGAAATCATGAACAGAAAATCTAAATAAAGCATTTATGATGATTTTTAAGTAAGGCACAGTTGTGACCAACATCCTGTAGATACGGATTTGTTTTTTCATAAAACTATATTAAACTCCACATGCTGTACATGCTGGGGGAAAAAAAAACGAAGAATTTGGGGACTTTGAATGGAATTTCCCTAACTTTAGGAAGGAACGCCACAAGTCGAATATCCTAACTGGCAGCTGTGGGATTAATTCTAAGCCTTTTTAAGGCCTGACAAGTATTTTGTTTGGCAAAAGTAGAGCAATGTGTTATGGTGGATCTCTGAAACTCGGGGTTCTGATTCAGGGATAACCCTAGTTTTCCTTTAGTGCTGTTAGACAAAGAGAAGAAACATAGGATTTACGGGTTAGACTGGGAATATAAAGAAGATGACTTTGAACTTGTCAATATCCCATAATCTTACGTCGCCACCTCACTGTTTTTTTTTTTTTTTTTTGGTTTGCTTTTATGTTCATCACAAAGTTAGCTGAACTGATCAAAGTCAAATCTTATCCTTTGCTAACACGCACGCACACACACATGCGCACGCACACATGCACGCAAACACTGGCCCCGTCTCAGCTGGACACAAGAGGTCAGACTGTCTGCTCACCACAGCACGTTCTGTGAGGCCACACCCTGTTTGGTCAGTTCACACGCCCAGCAGAATGTGTCACTGAAAAACTCTGAATGTCAGGAAATTGAGACTATGGGTAAAGAGAGATGGTCAAATGATTTCAATTCCTTCCTCAAGAGAAGCAATTCCTGACACCATGAGGAATGCTCAGAGGAATTTGCTCTTTCACTTCCAGGAAACCGTTCTCCTATCTACTGGGCATTATCTCAAGCACCAAATGGGCTGACCGAGGACAAACATCAGTATGAGGGGCTCAGCCCTGAAAATTCCCTGGCAGTGTTGGACATTAATTTAAGATGCAGTCATTACATGTAAGTTCTACAAAAAAGCACAACTGGCAAGACGTGGATGTATGGGGTTTCATTTGTGTGCAAAACAAGTACTTCTCTGCTGAGCTGCAAATGAACTTCATATTTGCAGTTGCCTTTGTTGCTCCGCTGCTAAATGCTAAACATAAACTTGGGCGGCACATGTTACAATATTCTTTCAAATGCCCGGGATCCCATGATAGCGTAATGTTTAGTTTCTGTAGGTGTGCTGTTTAGTAAGGTTGGATAGGACTGGATGTCAGCCAATAGCATCCATTGAGCACTTTTGTGCCAAGGACTGTGAAGAGAAGGAACAGAAAAGACTGATGGAGAGAGCCCCACCTACAAGAGAAATAATGATGGCATGCTTTTTTATGCAGCAACAGAGCAGTAAGAAGTTCAAGGTCATATGCCAACAGAGCAAGGGCTTGAGTGCTCAGAGGGTATCAAACCAAAATTCAGGGCTCAGTTGGAGTCTGAAGTTCAGATGAGTGCAGCTATGGAAAGCAAAAACGAGGCACAGAAGGGGCAACTCTGGGGGTCAGCCTGTGTGGTCTAAACTTGGTGGAAACATAATTTTTAAATAGGCTCAGAGAGCTATAGTTTCACCTTCAAAATCTAGAAGGCAGAATTAGGTATTTTTTCTTACTGTATGTTAAAATAAAACAATCTACTTCCATTGAACTGCTAAGTTATTCTCATGTAAAAAAACAAAAAAAAATTGGCTTGTGTGACGCTACACAGTTTGCTGACATTTGGTTTGAAGGCAATTTATTCTTAAACTCTGGTACTTGATAGTGATGAGACAAAAAGTAGAAATAGGTGGAATATTAATTTAAAAACTTGGGTTCAACCATGTATGCATGCCCCCCCTTTTTTGTGGAAGTGGCCTAATTGTGTGACAAGTTAATGAAATTTAACATTCTCAGCAACCAAAATATTAACTAAGTCAACATATACAAATGACACTGCCTAATCACAGGTTTTTGTGAAAGTAAAGGGGCATCTTTCATCAGGCTTCTCGAACACAGACCTGAATTTGGCAAAGCACCAAGGTGTTGAAAACCTGGAGGGTATCCTGGGCGAGGATAAAGAAAGCTCTGTTCACTTGTAATTCACCGACTGGGATGGAAACCCTCAAACAATATTTTCTATAGGTATAGTCTGGGGAGCTTGCTTAAAAAAGTTCACTCCTTACCCAGACATTCTGAGTCCAAAAGTCCATCCAAAGTGATGACTCCAGGAGTGTTCATTTTGGTTTTTACTATGGAAATTTTAAAATATTTACAAAAATAAAGAGATTAGTATAATGAACCCTCACACATCCATCACCCAGCTTTAACACATGGCAGATCTTGTTTATCTTCTTGTATCTCCCCTCCATATTATTCTGAAGTAAATCCCAGACATCATTTTTTTCTATAAATATTTCAATACTTATCTTTAAAAGATAAGGGCACTTAAAAAAAAAACAATAAAAGGCACCCAAATTAGAAAGGAAGAAATAAAATTATCTTCATTTACAGATGACATATTCTAAAAATACATATGAATAAAACTATTAGTCCTAATAGATTAGTTCAGCAAAGTAAAAGGATACATGAGGAATATAAAAAAAATCAATTTTATTTCTGTACACTAGCAATGAATAATATGAAAATGAAACTAAGAAAAAATCCATCTATAATAGAATCAAAAAGAAGAAAATATTTAGGAATAAATTTAACCAAGAAGCACAAGACTTGTATACTGAAAACTATAAAATATTGTTGAAAGAAATTAAAGAAGACCTAAATAAATGGTATGTCTGTGTTCATGGATTGGACAATTTAATACTGTTAAAATTTATCTACAGATTTAATGTGATACTGATCAAAATTCCAAATGTTTTTTCACAGAAATGGACAAGCTGACCCTAAATTTCAATGGACCAGAATAGATAAAACAATCCTCAAAAGAAAAAACAAATTTGGAAGACTCACACTTCCCAATTTCAAAACCTACTACAAAGCTACAGAAATCAAAGAGGTATGATACTGGCATAAAATAGCCATAAAATCAATAGAATTAAAATTCCAGAAACAAACCCATACCTCTATGGTCAGTTGATTTTTGATAAGGTTGTCCAGGCAATTCAATGGAGGAAAAATCGTCTTTTCAACAAATGGTGCTGGGACAACTGGATATCCACAGGTAAATCCCTACCTCACACCATATGCAAAATTTAACTCAAAAGGGATTGACAACCTAAATGTAAGAGTTAAAATGATAAAACGCTAAGAAGAAAACATAGGTGTAAATCTTCATGACCTTGGATTTGGTAACTTTTCTTAGATATGACACCAAAAGCACAACCAACAAAAGAAAAAAATTGATAAATTGGACTTTATCAAAATTAAAAGTGGGGCGCCTGGGTGGCTCAGTAGTTAAGTGTCTGCTTTCGGCTCAGGTCCTGATCCCAGGGTTCTGGGATCAAGCCCCATGTCGGGCTCCCTGCTCCGCGGAAGCCTGCTTCTCCCTCTCCCTCTGCCCCTCCCCCCTGCTAGTGCATGCTCTCTCTCTGTCTCTCTCTGACAAATAAATAAATAAATAAAATCTTTAAAAAAATATAACCATGATATGATTTTCACACCTAAAGAAGTTAACAATAATCCCTTAAAATCATCAAATAGGATCAACGTTCAAATTTCTAATTTTCTCGTTAAAAATATGGCTTTGCCCTCTGTTTGAATTAGGGTTAAAGTCTATACATTGCAGTAGGCTAATATGGCTCCGTCCCTTTTAAGCCACCCCCTGTTTTCCTTTTTGTCTTCTTTTCCCCCTTGCAATATATTTACTGAAGAAACCAGGGCAGATGTCCAGCAGAGCTTCCCACCATCTCAATTTTGCTGCTTGCATTCCTGGTGCCTTTTAACATTTTCCTATATCCCTTTTACATCATGTAAATTGGTGGTGGGACTAAGCTGCTTGATCAGGTTCAGATTTGATTTTTTGGCAAGATGAACGTAATATACTCCCATAGTTAAGCACCTAGTATCAACTTAGTATGGTTGTTTCTCCTGTGTTGCATTAGGAAATGTTGATGCTCGGTACCTAATCCATTACTGCATTAGGGGATGACACAGCGGCAATATTCTCTCATTCTATCTTCATTTATCAGTTGGAATTCTTTTATAAAGAGAAACTTCCTTGCAACAACTATTTGGTTCTCCTGAGTTTAGGTTCTAACAGGAGGGGGAGAATAAATGTTTGATCTCCCCCTTTATTTTGTCAGTTTCCAAAGGGGTAAGTTGTTTCTCTAGCATTCTGTGAAAGTTACCCAGGAGTGTTTGGTTTGTTTTTGATATCATTTGAACATACCAGGATATGTTTTGATCCATTGACATGTTTATTCTCACATTGTCCCATTTCATCCAGTGCATGCTGATTCACATTACCTCCTGAGTCCTTTTGAATAGCTTCTTTCCCTTCCTGTATGACAAGATGTTCCAGGTTCACCTTGCACATTCAGGGAAGTTCCTTTTAAACAAATCTTCTTGGTGGTTCTCCTAAGGGAGATCTAAGGACCACAGTTTAAAATACACAAACCTAGGGGCACCTGGGTGGCTCCGTCAGTTAAGCATCTGATTCTTGATTACAGGTGGGGTCATGATCTCAGGGTTGTGAGATCGAGCCCTGCACTGGGCCCTGCACAGGGCATGAAGCCTGCTTAAGATTCCCTCTCTCCCTTTCCCTCTGCCCCACCCTGCCCTCTCTCTCTCTCCCTCCCTCTAAAAAAATAAATAAATAAAAATAAAATAACAGACCTAAGTAGTTTGTCCAGCTTCAGCCCATGTTACTTATTCTTAACAAGATCATTTATGTTTTATCTAACGACATGCTTGTCTGGGCTAAGGGGGTCATGTTAGTAGTGGATGTTAGTAGTTAGTTAGTGGTATCAGTGAATACCATAGAATTATAGGGATGAAAGCTCTCATATTTATCTCTCTTTTTCTGGGGAAAAATAGATCCAAACTGGGCCTCAGCAACCCACCACACCTATGCCAGAGGAGATGGCATAGGAGATGGTGACGATGATGCTGATGATGTCAACGGTAAAAGGTACCTGTTATTCTGTGCCTGCTATGTGCCCATCGCCATGCAAAGGGCTTTAGAAACATGATTTCCCTTAAATAACTTCACATTGGCCCTTTCACATCACCCCATTTTGCAGACAAGGAAACTGAAGCTGATATAGTCTTTGTTGGCCTCTTTGCAGACACATGTCCCAGAGCAGCCTTCAGTCCCTTCAAGGCCAGTTGGGGGGAGGCCCCCACAGTGCTCCCAGCCATGTTGGAACCCCTAGCTCCATAGTTAGGCTGACCTTGGTGTTAGAAAGAGATGTTTGATATCAAAGGGTTTGAAGTGAGGATCCTCTGAGATCATTACGTTTCAGGGCGGGGGGAGGTTTATTTCAGTGTAGTTAACATACAGAGTTAGATTAGTTTCAGGTGTACAACTCTATACATCCCCCCGTGTTCATCATGATAAGTGTACCCTTTAATCCCCATCACCTATTACTTCCCCTATCCCTTTGGTAAACATCAGTTTTTCTCTATAGTTAAGAGTCTGCTTTTTGGTTTGTCTCTTTTTTATTTTGTTCATATGTTTTGTTTCTTTTTTTTTTTTTTAAAGGATTTTATTTATTTATTTGAGAGAGAAAGAGGAGTAGAGGGGGAGGAAGAGGGATAAGCAGACTCCTCACTGACCACAAAACCTGTTGTGGGACTCGATCCCAGAATCCCAAGATCATGACTTGAGCTGAAACTAAGAGCCTGACACTCAACCGACTGAGCCACCCAGGCGCCCTCATAGGTTTTGTTTCTCAAAGGAATTTAAGAATGAATGAATGAATGAAATCATATGGTATTTGTTTTTTTTTTTTCGACTGGCTTATTTTGCTTAGACTTATACTCTCTAGCTCCAACCATGTTGCAAATGGTAAGATTTCATTCTTTTTAATGACTGAATAATATTCATATATATATATCTATCTCACATTTTCTTTGTCCATTTATCTATCAATAGACACTTGGGCTGCTTCCATATATTGGCTATTGTAAATAATGCTACAATAAACATAGGGGTGCATACATCATTTCAAATTAGTGTTTTCAGGGGTTTTTTTAGGTGAATACCCAGTAGTGAAATTACTGGATCATAAGGTAATTCTATTTTTAATTTTTTGAGGACCCTTCATACTGCCTTCCACAGTGGCTACACCAGTTTGCATTCCCACAGCAGTGCACAAGAGTTCCTTTTTCTCCACATCCTCGCCAACACTTGTTTCTTTTTTTTTTTTTTTGAGATTTATTTATTTATTTTGAGAGAGAGCTCAGAGAGGTGAGGGGCAGAGGGAGAGGGAGAGAAAGAATCATGAGCAGACTTCCTGCTGAGCGTGGAGCCTGATGCAGGGCTCAATCTTACTACCCTGAGTTCCTGACCTGAGCTGAAATCAAGAATCAGACACTTAACCGACTGAGCCACCCACACACCCCTATTTCTTGTGTTGTTCATTTTAGCCATTCTGACAGGTGTGAGGTGATATCTCATTGTAGTTTTGATTTGTATTTCTCCGATGATGAGTGATGAGCATCTTTTCATGTGTCTGTTGGCCATCTGGATGTCTTCTTTGGAAAAATGTTCATGTCTTCTTGCCCATTTTTAAATTGGATTTTTTTTCCTGGTGTTGCATTCTTTATATATCTTAGATACTCACCCTTTATTGGATATGTCATTTACTAACATCTTCTCCCATTCAGTAGGTTATCTTTTAGTTTTGTTGCTTGTTTCCTTTGCTGTGCAGAAGTTTTTTATTTTGATGTAGTCCCAATAGTTTATTTTTGCTTTTGCTTCCTTTGCCTCAGGAGACATATCTAGAAAAATATTGCTACAGCCGATGTCAGAAAGACAACTCCGGTGTTCTCTTCTAAGATTTTTATGGTTTTAGATCTTTAATCCCTTTTGAATTTATTTTTGGGTATAGTGTAAGAAAGTGGTCCAGTTTCATTCTTCTGCATGTGGCTGTCCGGTTTTCCCAACACCATTTTTTGAAGAGACTGTCTTTTTCCATTGATTAATTGACCATATGATTGTGGGTTTATTTCTGACTCTCTATTCTGTTCTATTGATCTATGTGTCTGTTTTTGTGCTAGTGACATACTGTTTTCATTACCCAGCTTTGTGGTAGATCTTGAGCTCTGGGATTGTGATACCTCCAGTTTGGTTCTTCTTTTTCAAAACTGCTTTGGCAGTTCAGGGTCTTCTGTGGTTCCACACAAATTTTAGGATAATTTGTCCTAGTTCTTTTTTTTTTTTTTAAAGATTTTACACATTTGTCAGAGAGAGAGAGAGAGAGAACACAAGCAGGCAAAGGGAGAGGGAGAAGCAGACTCCCCGCTGAGCAGGGAGCCCGATGCGAGGCTCGATCCCAGGACCCTGGGACCATGACCGGAGCCGAAGGCAGACGCTTAACTGACTGAGCCACAGGCATCCCAGTTTGTTCTAGTTCTGTGTAAAATGCTGTTGGCATTTTGATAGAGATTGTATCAAATGTGTAGAATGCTTTGGGTAGTATGGACATTTGTTCTTCTGCTCTGTGAGCATGGAATATCTTTCCATTCGTTTCTGCCGTCTTCAATTTCTTTCATCCGTGTTTTATAGTTTTCAGAGGACAGGTCTTTTACCTCCTTGGTTAGGTTTATTCCTAGGTATCTAATTATTTTTGGTGCAATTGTAAATGGGACTGTTTTCTTAATTTCTCTTTCTGCTACTTCATTATTCGTGTATAGAAAGATGTCATCACATTTTAAAACAGAAGTTTGTTGGCTCAAATAACTCTTCTGTGGGTAGGAAGTATGGGGAGGTATTTTGAGGCCCAGGTACAGCC